TCGTGTAAAACGGGTTTAGTCCCGCCACCATTTCAAAAACAAATCAAAACATGCTTGAAAAGTCGAAGGGCGTTACCATAATTTTACTTACCTCACTCTGCAAAACCGAGCACTCAATTCACGTACTAAACTGACAGAACGATTAAGAACCTAATCAAAATATTCCAAGAATTAATACCACTATCACAAATTCACACTGAAATCATCATTAGGATCATTCCTAATCACAAAGCTATTTCCATAAATCTCCACATGATCAATTATCTCCAAATTCGTTCTTATATCACAAACTAATCATTTAAATCCCCGTTAATTGTCGACTCTCGGGGTGTGAACAGTGTTCTGTGAACAGTACCACGACGTGAACGGTAACTCTAACTTTCACAAATTGGCCAAAACACTAGCTAATTCACCGGATTTTCTCTCCAAAATCACCACAACCCAATTCAAGCTAATTTACACTTAAACCAAGCTTAAAAACATAACTTAATCTACCAACATTTTCCCATTTCTCACGGCAGCACAGGGAGAGCATAACTTTGGCAAATCACAATTCACACACACGGGATTTTCACACAAAACATTACAGCAGGTAATTCAAGCTAAATTCTACTCAATCAAGCTTAAAACACATTTAAAATGCTACTAAATGCTACCGGAATTCCTCCCCATTTCTGGCACAATTCGGACACACACACAAGTAGCAATTAAATGTCTAATTTAGGGCTTAAAGAAGTGGCCATCATACCAGAAATTTCCAGCAAGAACCGGACCTAGCAGGGAGAAGAAGCCGGCAGCATCTGCAGGGGAAACTCACGGACTACCCAAAAGTTGAGGGAAATAAACAGAAATTAGCATAACCCAGCCTAAATCAAGGTTAAAGAGATGATTTCTTGGCTGTGGCTTACCCGAAAAATGCCCAGAAATTCAAACCCACATAGCAGCCGGCGGACAGGGGAGAAGAGCAGAGCAGATCCGAGATTTTCTGGGTTGAGAGGGAAGATTCTAAGCCCCAAATCTTGTGATTTAACAAGAAAGGAAGAGAAATTCATCAAGATCCCACCGGGTTTTTCAAGGGGGAAGAAAGTCGGTGGCTTGGGGGGCTTCGAGAGGAAGAATCGGGAAGAAGGAGAAGATAAGGAAGAGCAAAACACGTGGCTGAGGAGAGAAATATCAGCCTTGACCCTTATCCTAATTTCCTTTCTTTTTAGCCCTTGAACTTTGAAAACTTTTACGGACCGATTCCGGTCCGTATAGATATATACGGACCGGTATCGGTCCGAATATAGGCAATCCGTGGCATTTTTTTTTATCTTAGAGCTAAATTAAATTAAGTATGAATATATACGGACCGGTATTGGTCTGAATATATGCAAAGAATCCAGATGCTTCCATGCTTTTTAGTTTTCAGACCGATTTTGGTCCGAATATAGTAGAAAAAATTCAGAAACTTCTTCCAATGCACATTTTTATTCTTTTCATTTAAGGACATTACCATCTTCTCGTGTTCTAAATCCATTCCTGCGAAAACCAATTGCATGTACATCGACCCTATAGTCCCTTGGAACCACAAAACCATCGATTGCCTAGCTGAAATTATCCTACGATACTACGGAGTAATATCGTTGCAAAACCACAAACGTATAAGTTAAAGGTTATTAGAGATAATGTTATGTAATGCTCTTTCGAAACTATAAGCAAATAAAATTAATTATTTTTATTTAGGTTAACCACTTTGGTTTGCAAACATTCGGAATATTACGGTTTTAAACAAGAGTAGAACGATTTAATAATGAAATAAAAAATAAAATGAAAAGCTGTTGTTCAGCGGCATATTTGAACCGATCCCGGTCTGTATATATACACAGACCGGTATCGGTCCGAATATAAGGTCGTATATACCGCAAATGAAACCTAGGAACCTGCTGTGAGGTGATATACAGACCGGTATCGGTCTGAATATAAGCTGTATGTACCAGAAATGAAACCGAGGAGAAACCTGCTGTGAGGTAATATACGGACTGATAATGGTCTGTATAACTATATACGGACCGGGATCGGTCCGTATATCATGTGAGACTCATATTTCTGTGAGACCAAATAATGCAAAAATATATTTTACCATTCAAATTAAATACATTTATAAGAAAATAAAATACGTTTAGAATAATTACTTAATATAATGACTTAAAATATGTAAAAGTTTAATTATATTATACATGAAAAATTTTAAAATTCACGAAATATAACGTAGAAAAAAAATTGAAAAAGCTGCAGTTTAGGGAATATACGGACCGATACCGGTCCGTATATACAGATACGGACCGGGATCGGTCCGTATATCATGCAAAAAAAAATGCGTTGAAGATAGAGAAAACAGATTTACTTTATTTAATAATTACATAATATTACCAAATAATGCAAAAATATATTTTACCATTCAAATTAAATGCATTTATAAAAAAATAAAATATGTTTA